CCGGGCCGGGCAGGAGCGTCCCCTCCGCCCAGCAACGACCCGGGTGCGGGCGCTGCCCCTTGCGGGAAGCGGCCTGTCCTGCGGTGCCTGTCCCTGTGGGTGCCCGCGGCTCGGGCGAGGCGCCGCCTGCCGCGCTGAGGCGTGTTGGCGTGGGGATGCCGGGGCAATCTCCAGCCCCGAGGCAGCAGCTGCGGAGCCCCCGTGCTCCGGGCTCCTGCCTTGGGGCGCTCCGCCGGGGCATTCGCCCGCGCGGCTCGAGCTTCCCTGGAGGGCGACGGGCTGGGCAGCCCCCGGGGAGCGGAGTCGTGCCTCGCTTGCTCTTTGCTCTGGTACTCTGGGAAGGAAACTCCAAAAGGTCATTGGAGAAAACGGAGCTGCGCCGCGAGCACAGTCGTCCCCAGCGCAGCACATGCGAGGGCAGAGCCGGGGTGGGCGGCTGCCAGTCCCTCGCTTTTCAGATGAGGGAAGGGCCTCCAACTCTTGCCTGTTTTTGAGCCATGTTAAGTAGGACCCATCTGCACCCTGCCAATACCAGTACCTGCTAAACTGCACCGTTGCTTCACCCTGAGGTACAAGATAGCACCTGGCACTAGGTTTTTCACGTACCCTTGGTTAAACCCACTTGTCACACCCTTCTCCCTGTAATTGCTGACAGTCCCTACAGTAGCCAGCCACTAGCACACCCCATACCACATAAGCCAACTTTTTTGGCAGGCATGCCACAAATTAGCCCCATGTGCTGCTCCAATCCCCTTCTGTGCCTGATCTGCTGCTCTGCCTTCTGCTTCCTGCCTTGTGCTCCCTGTTCCTGTGAGACCCTGACTCCATGCTGTACACAACGATTAGGGAGACAGGGTGGATCCAGTTGCTCAGAGAGCAAGCAGGGAGCAAACACCAACACACATTGCACGACAACAGCTTTATTCACAATGGAGGCAGCTTTGGGTGAGCTGCCAAAAAATAGCAGGGAGCTGTAGTGAACATTCGTTCTTTTCACATTTATACACCTTGGTTTATACTCATTAACATTTACTCCACCTTTCCCTCTCCTTTGTTCTACCTGTATCTCCTCCTCTCTCAAGCTCTACCGCTGTTTACTGTTTATTTCATTAGCATAAGATTGCCTATGCATTTCATTCATTTACATACCTTTTTGCTATGAGTGCATGCATAAGACCATGAACTCAGCTTCTCTCAGTCCATTGCTGTTTCTTGCGGCCTCCTTCATCTCCAAGGTCTTGCATTGGCTTTATCTCCTGACAATAGCTGGTAGGCCGCATCTTGTTTCCTCTTACACCATGAACTCACAATACTATGACATTGTTAGAAAACTGCTTGCCTAAGTGTCTTGAGTGTTACTTTTAATATAAAGCTGCCTTGTGGTCTGCAGCTTTGCTGAGACACAGAAAAAAGCCTTTATTCAGCTGCAAATCCAGCACTCCCCAAGATCCAAACAGTGTCACCCTAACTTAGTGTCACCTCTGCAGCTCTGCCTTCTGCTTCCTGCGCTACCTGCCCTTGTGCTGCCTATCCCCACCCTGATGCATGCTCTGCATAGAGGCTGTCCATGCCACATAAGACACACCTACCACAAACTGGCCACCCCAACCATACAATGGAGTGGTGAAAGGATGCATGTTGGGTCACTCGTATGCATACACCCCTTTCCTTTGATCACACACAGAGGTTAAGGGGAGAAGGTCCCCCCCCGCCATCCCAACCCAGAAGACAGTTTTCCCATCGCACTCCACATTATAATTACAGCATTGCCAAAGCAGTTACAATTAACACACTGAATACTGCTGGAGTGCATGCAAGTCATTTCCAGTGCACATTGCCCACCCCAAGGTGCAGTTAGAGTTGTGTTGGCATGTACTTCAGATTGATATTATTTTATTTTCAGAAGTCGGAGTCTGTGTTCTGGAGAGATAGGACAGGGATTCCCAACCTTTTTATGCTAAGGACCGGCAAACCCCAGACCAGAAGTGGCTCAGTATAAAAAAGGGTTGGCTACCTGTCTGCAGTATGCTGGTCATTTCCAGTCTGCAGTTTGCCGGTCCGTGGTCACTTCTGGTCTGGCAGACAACCCTCCTGCAGACCAGCAGCCAACCCTTAACGGTCTGGCACCGGCCCACAGCCCATGGTGTTGGGGACCCCTGAGATAGGGCTAAGTAATCCAGTGATATCTCCTCCTTCACTGAGGGCTAAGCTACCACATTTAAATTCCATTTACCACAGGGTAAGGTTGTTTACATCCGCCATTATTGCAGAACAGCTTATGTGCATGAAAGCCCTGCTCCCTCTTACCTCAAAGTTCTTTGTATGTCCATCCCATAAGACTCTGATGTTACTTTGAAAATTCTTCCCAGAGTCTTAGAGTCCATATTACTGTATGTAGTGTAAAGATGTGGTATTGATTATAGCCATTTGTTTCCAAAGGTTTCTGAAAGTTCTGGCTGTTGAAGAAGCAGGATGACCCAGAAGGAGAAACCGTTGCTTATTTATGATACAGACTATCCTGATGTGGTTGTAGATGTAGGAAAAGTAACTCTGGGTGAGAAAAGAAAAAAAATGGCAGGTGATCATATAAGGGCACAAAACAGTGTCCTTATCCCAGCAGTGTGTGCACTATTAAATTCTGGAGGTGGTGTGATAACACTAGAGATTGAAAATGAGGATTACAACTACAAAAATTATGGCATTGGACTGGATATGGAGACCTCTTTTAGGAACCGTGTTATTAATTCTTCAGATTTGACAAAGTATTTTAACTATATACAGCAAAACAGCAAATTTCTGATTTTTAAATCTTGGAGCAGAGAGAAATTGTCATCTGGCCCAGCTCTCTTGAAGCAACATATTTGCTCCCTAAATTCTGGATTGTGTCAAAAAACTCTCACCTCTGTTGCTAGCCTGAAACCAGATGAAGCTTTTGAATTTCTTGAGGAGAGGAAAGCTGATTCTAGGCAAAGATACGAAGAAGAGACAGGTCCAACAGCCAAGACAGCCCGATAGAGCAGCACTCAAGCAACACTGGAACCTAATGTGCAGGAGAAAAATGACATACTTGAAGCTACTGCTAATTTTTTTTGAGAGACGAACTGCTGCATAGAGACCTTGCCATTCACTGAGCCTATGCATGTTGTATTTAAAGGCTTTGCGACAGAATATTTTGAAATATGTTAAAAGCACTCTTCCAAATTATGTACCTGCATTTGCAAACACACAAGGCTATTTAATTATTGGAGTGGATGATAAGAGGACAGTGGTTGGATGTCAAGAGGATGTGAATGTTGACAGGTTACATATGGAAGTAATTCATGGCATTGAGAATTTGCCTATCTATTATTTCTGCAAAGCAGGGGGAAAAGTGAAATATGAAATCAAAATCTTGGATGTATATGATGCATCTAGAAAAAAATATGGTTATGTTTCTGCTGTGAAAAATGAGCTGTTTTGTTGTGTCGTGTTTTCATGCAACCCTGATTCATGGATTGTGAAGGGCCAGTTTGTCAAGAGACTGACAGTCATGGAATGGACAGATGTGATGGTGGCTGCTGACCCAGGTCTTATGAAAGAAGAAAAGTCTCACAGCTAATTCCTCCTGATCTTTGGTTTTTGTGCTTCTAGGGTGGTGATCTGCCTTCCAGATGTCTGTTGTTGAAACGATAATATAAAGAGCTCTAAAAAAAAACAAACAAACTCTGCCTTCATCCTGCCCAGGACATGTGCAGGGCTTTACATGTATGAAGCACTGACAAACATTGTGGGTGAGGTCTGATTAAGAACCTGAATTAAATAGAAAGAAAAAAAAAAAAAAAAGGAGTAGCCACATAAAAAGGCCAAGCTGTATGAACGGCACTAGGGACCTGGCTTGTGGATTTAGGAGAATACAGTGGTATGGGCCCCACAGGATTTCAACTCAGGTACAAGTAAACAGGAAGACAAACAACTTCCAGGCATGATGAGTCTGACTTTATGTCTTTCCAAGTAGTAGGATTTTCTTTCTACAACCCAACCTGTGGGACGTTTTCAAGTAATCTATGATCCAGATGCCATTGGAATCAATGGGGAATCTTCCTACTGATTTTAGTTCAGGCACTAAGGGCATTTTTACACGTGCTCTGGAAGACATGGGAGGGTGCTTTAGTTAGCAAGCTGTGCTAATTAAAAGCGCCCAAGCGTCACGTGTATCAGTATTTCCACACTAAAAAATGGTGGCAGGGCCCTTTGAACTAAAGCTCATTGAACGAGCTTTAGTTCAAAGTGCCCCGCTGCCATTTTTCAGCACGGAGATGCTGATACGCATGATGCTAGAGTCTGCTGGAGCTCATTAATTTCCATGCTCTGGCAGACTCCATTAATGTCTCGATTAATCGAGTCTCCTCCAATGCGTTGGAGCAGGCTCTCTGCACATGTATAGGAACCGTAAGAGAGGAGGCACACAAAGGCCTTGAGATGTATTTACAGTCAAGTGAAGAGGACTACATCCAAGGCTGGATTCAGAATGTCTCATTATACATATAAGAGATGCTTTGCCCACCTACATCCCAAGCAGTGATTCAAAGTCACCTTGTGCCAGCATGCACTCCTTATGTGCTTATATGCCTTATACATTTCCATTTTGGAGGGCAAAGTTCCCAAAGTGTCTTTACTCAGGCCAATGAGCCTGCTGAGACCTGACCTGAAGCAGACACTTGCAAGCCTCACTTCCACTTAAGATTTTTCTAGCACTTGCAGGAGGTGTATGAACTCTGCCTGCAGCATCAGAGAGGCCCCAGAAGTTAGAGTTATAAAAAACCTACATCTAAAATCAACTACAAGGTATTCAGTTCAGTTCTAAAATCAACCTCACTGCATTCTAACTACCAGGTTACAGGTGGTGCCCAATACCCTAGTATTTACCTAAGAAGTCAGGACCTGAGTTCTAGGCCTTCTTTACCCCTAGAGGATTTGAATCCAGTTCCCTAGAGAATGCCCTCACCACTGGACTACAGAATAGGATAGATCACTGTTTCTCAACCTGGGTCACAAAAATATATGAAAGGGTCACAAACAAACTTTAAAAATGGATCTCTTTTCAAGGAGAAAAGTGTGGGAAACCATGGGTTTCCTTGCAGGCTGGCAGAGTTCCAGCCTATGAGGGGCTGTTTGGGGCCTCCAATGCCCCTGTAACAGGTCTCCCTTCCCAGCGCCATCTTCTTGGTCATCCACGCTTTACGTGGGGCGCCCTTCGAATTCTTCTGTCCCGCCCTAATCTCGTCTGCCATGTCTTGATGGAAATTATTATGTGAGCGGGAGACTGCCTATTCTATTGGGTATGTTGGGGTCTCTCTTAGGAGGGCCTGACCCCTTTTTTCTCTGGCTAGGCCTTCCCATCCAAACCCACCAAACAGGGTTTGACTCCAAGGCTCTAGCTTCTCTTTCTAGTGTCTAGAGGCTCGTGGCCCGCTTTTCTACTCCTTTCTGGAGCATGGCACTCCCTGGCTCAGAGGCACGGGCACCAGCCCCACAGCAAGGGGGTTGCAAGTCCAAAACCAGGGTGTGACCCCACCAGTCCAAACAAAAACACAAAAAAACCAAAATATATACACCTGCACCTCTAGGTGCACCAGGCCTCCCTGGCTTTTTTAAGATCGTCCCAAACTGCCCCCTTCCTGGCACTCAAGCTCTCTACTGCCCTGTCTCACTCTGCACCTCACTGACACTGGGGTCTGTGCCCTAAAAAAGCTGCGCCCCCACTGGCACCGGGTCTGTGCCCTAAAAAAGCTGCGCCCCCACTGGCACCGGGTCTGTGCCCTAAAAAAAGGTGCGCCTCCCACTGGCACCGGGTCTGTGCCCTAAAAAAAGGTGCGCCCCCACTGGCACCGGGGTTCCCATTCTGAAGTGTGTCCCCAAAAATGAGGCCTCCTCCATCCCCTAATAGCCTCACCCAAACCTCCAGTTAAACAGCAAACAAGACACAAGCCCCTGGGCTATAACATAAATTCACGCCTCTTGGCTAAAACATCATTCAAGCCACCCCAAGGGTGCTCTATCTCTCACCAGTATCAGGAGCCTCTCATGCAGTCAGGCCTCTCCCCTTTGCTTGTGCAGGCAGAGCTCCTTTCCCCTTGGCTGCCAGGAGGGAACTGCTCACCTGGCCTCAGCCCTGGGGTTTAAATGTGAGCCAGGCCCTGTCCCTTCCAGTCAGCTGACCGCTGGCAGGTGTGGGTCACTAGCTCCCTCTGGTTGCACCTAGGTAGTTATCCCTGCTCTACAAGTAGCAGGCACCTTACTGCCCTGCTACAGCCCCACACACCCACCCATTGCCCCACACACTGTGGACTGGCAGCAGAGGGCAGTGGGTTAGGGGGAGGGGCACTGGGTCAGGACAGGCCATCAGTGTTTACAAATGGGTCCTGATACAAAAAAGGTTGAGAACCCCTGGGATAGATGAAGCTGGACTAATAGGCAGCCAAGAATCCTGGGGCCAAAAAAATAAGCAAAAGGGAGCCTGCCTGTGTAGCCTAGTGGTTACAGTATTCCCTTGGGAGGAGTGACCCTTGGCTCTTGTTGCCAGAGACAGGATTCTTATCTGAAATATTCAGGACTAGGTATTTGGGCATTTGACCTTCCAGTGGTGATTGGACTGGGGCAATGAGAAGTGAGTCTTAACATGAATTTTAATTGTTTTTATAGATCTTTCCAAATTGGCTACAGACTTCATGACTCAGCTAAGTGTGTCAGGTGCACCTCCGCTGGCCAAACCAATTTATTCAAAGCAAGGCCTCAGCTGTTTGGAAGATCTGCAAAATCATCTTTTTGCAGGTACAGTGGAGTGAGCATGTTTCAAAAGTTTTTGGAAATTAAGAGAGGCTGGATGATTGGGAAGGGAAGGGGAGAAGAGACTACTACTATGTATTCCAATCACAAACTGTCAGCTTTAACCCTGAGGCTGTAAATCAGGGGTGGGCAAAATATGGCCCATGGGCTGGATTCAGCCCACCAAGGGATTTTATCCTGGCCCACAGTGGATCCCTCAGCCCTGCCTAGCCCAGGAGCAGGGGGCAGTCCCAGCTGTGGCACATGTGGCCAGTCACACCACACCCTGAGCTCGCAGAAGGGCTGGAGCGGTGCAGCAGTTCGACTTCACTTTCTGGCAGCCCCTGCAGCAGTGGCTCCTTCCAGCAGCCACTGCGAGTATTGTCACCACTGCTGGACTTGGCCCCACTGTCCAGGCACCCTGGCCCGTCCACCCCACGCCCTCTGTCAGGGGTGCCAGATGGAGTGGCAAGTCACATGATGAAACCATTTGCAACCGACTGGGGCATAACCATCACCCATTCTAGCCCCGGGTACCCACAGTCCAATGGCCAGGCTGACCGCACAGTTCAGACCATCAAATCAACGCTTAAGAAGACATTGCAGGATGGCTCTGATCTACATCTGGCTTTACTCAATCTGAGCAAAATGCCAATTTCCGGTCTTGAGTAAGCTCCAGCGCAGCTTCTGATGGGGAGACTTTTGCGCAGTCCCCTCCCTGCTACAACGGCGGTGCTGACTCCTAGACAACCGCCAATCACCTCCCACAACTTGTGGGACCTTCAAAGGCACCGGAAGGAGTGCTACGACCGCACGGCTGCACTCCTGCCACCTCTATGACACGGGGAGAAAGTACACATGCAAACAAGTGCAGGTTGGACACCAGCGTCTGTCATAGCAAAAAGGGATGAACCGCGCAACAACCCCCAGCGATAATGTCTACAGGAGGAACAGAAGTCACTTAAGAAAGGATTGCTCGTCAGTCCCAGCAGCACATGGTAGTGTACCTCAAGAAACGGCAGCAGAGCAAACTTCAGAAGACGAACCATACTACCATGAGCAAAAGTTTCATCACATTGAAGAGAACCCACCAGTCCCCACAGAGGAACCTGATGCCACCACGCCAACTAAGAGTGGACGTGTGGTGAGATTGCCTGTGAAGTACAGGGACCATAATGGGATGGCCGTAAGAGCTAGAGCCCACTGGTGAGCCAAGTGCTAGCAACCTCTGGCTCCACAATCCTGAAACGTTCCCAGTTCAAGTAGCGCCTGCTGAACATCCAAGTGGTTAAGAAGGAGCTCCCCAAGTAAAGAACAGGGATGTGGTATATGGAAGGTCCCTTGAAGGGGCCAGCAGTGGGACCACCCATTCTCTCCCCGTGATGCCCTGCAGGCACGGTTTGTGCTGGTGGGTAGTTGTAGTTCTCCCTGCAAGCTGTGAGCTTCTGAGTTCCTGAATCCTGTTCCTAATAAAGATCAAGCTGTTTGACACCCTGCTGGTCTCAGCTGAATGGTGACTCGTGGACAGGACCCCAAAGGCATGGAGCTCTGAGTGAGTGCCCCATCCTTGGGACCCAATACCATAGAACAAGCACTATCGTTCAGCCCATCCCTGGCACTTGGGCTCATGTGAGGAGCCCACAAGTGTCCTGTTGGCAATTCGCTTGTGCCAAAACTATGAGCATGCCCGTCCCTGCTCCCCCTTCCCCATGTGGGGTGACATGGCCCAGGGAGTGTCCCCGTGAGCTGCACGTATTAATCCCACCCCCTTGCTGGGGGCGGGGGTTTGTGCGGGGGCAAGAGGATCATCAGAAAAGTCCACTCCTAGTGACTGCACCGTGCTGGGGAGCTGAACTGTATCTGAGCAGGGGCAACAGGAAACCACCACGGGGGATCATGTCGGGGGACTCCTGTAACAGTCTAAGGAATGGGAGCTTTTTGTCTCCGACAGAAGCAGGGGTGGAGGGTTCAGAGGCCTTTGTAACTCTGGATTTGCAGGTGGGGCAGGGTGCATGTGTTTGTGTGTGTACCTGGGTGTCACTGCTGTGTGTGTGTGCACGCCAGTGTCACAGGGTAGGGCGGGGCGGTGTGCACGCATGTATGGCTCTATACGTGTCTCTGCTATGTGCAGCACAGGACACTCCCTACATGCTGCACTGGGACCAGGCCCAGCAGCGCTGGGCAGGGGAGGCTGCCTTGCAGGTAGGTGCCTGCTGAGCCTTGCTCCGGCCGGCCTGTACTTCCCGGGATCCTGTCGTCCCGCCTGGCACGCAAAGGGGCTGAGGTAGAGCGGGGCTCTGTGTGCC